TAGGATTTGTTTTCTTCTTATGGCTGAATAATATTCCATTGTGTATATGTACCACATCTTCTTTATCCATTCATCTACTGATGGACACTTAGGTTGCTTCCATTTCTTGGCTATTGTAAATAGTGCTGTGATAAACATAGGGGTGCATCTGTCTTTTTCAAACTGGAGTGCTGCATCCTTAGGGCAAATTCCTAGAAGTGGAATTCCTGGGTCAAATGGTAAGTCTATTTTGAGCATTCTGAGGAACCTCCATACTGCTTTCCACAATGGTTGAACTAATTTACATTCCCACCAGCAGTGTAGGAGGGTTCCCCTTTGTGATGACAACTTTTAAGATTAACTCTCTTAGTAGCTTCCAAGTATGCAGGACAGTATTATTTACTGTAGTTACCATGCTATACATTACATCCCCATGAATTACTTATTTTATAACTGGAAATTTGTACCTCTTGACCCCCTTCACCCATTTTGCATACCACTCCCAACCACCCTGCCTCTGGCAACCACCAGTCTATTCTCTTTATCTATGCATTTGTTTTGCTTTTTAAATTCTACATATAAATGAGATCTTATGGTATTTGGCTTTCTCTGACTTATTTCCTTTAGCAGAATACCCTCAGGAGCCATCCTTGTTGTCACAAATGGCAAAATTTCATTCTTATGACTGAATAGTATCCCATTGTTTATATATATCACATGCGTTCACTCATTGATGCTCATCTAGGTTGTTTCCATATCTTGGCTGTAGTAAATAGTGCTGTAATGAACATTGGGGTGCATGTATTTTTTTAATTAGTATTTTTATTTTCTTTGGATAAATGCCCAGAAATAGAATTGCTGGATCATATATGAGATTTCTATTCTTAATTTTTTTGAGGACCTTTATACTGTTTTCTGTCATGGCTGTATTAGTTTATATTCCCACCAGCAGTGCAGGAGGGTTCTCTTTTCTCCACATCCTCACCAACACTTGTTATTTTTTATGTTTTTAAAAATGGTTAATAAGAGTTCAGCCGCCACGCGCCAAAAAAAAAAAATGGTTAATAGCCATTCTAATAACTGTGAGGTTCTATCTCATTGTAGTGATACAGAATTGTTTGACCTGTTGTTTCAACCTTGGGGATGTTTTGTGAAAGTATTTTCTGGAGCAAGCTCCATTAAGCCAATTTAATTTCATGTTCATTTTATATACAGCTTACAGTTTCTAATTTTTTTGTTACATCAAGTGATTTGATTCCTTATTCAAAATGTAATTTTTCCTTGGTGATTTTTTTTTCAGTTTTCTGTGTTACCAAAAGGTGTAATGCTGCAGCTTTTTAATGGGTCTGTCATGAAGTTTGACTTACTTTTAGTAATGGTCAGCTTTATTTGCTTACTTAAATTAACAGTAGTAATTATATTTTTTTAAAAATCCAATAGTTTGAATTTATTCCCTAGCTCAAAAAACATTAAGAGGGCAAGGCATGGTGGGTTCAGGATACCAGGCTGGGTCAAAGTAGCCTGTCTCTTACTTATTCTAGCTTATGTTTCAGTCTTTAGGCAGCAAACTGAGGTGTAATCATCTTTTATATGTACTCCAAAAAAACTTTCATTAATGAGTTCCTGGGATGATACACTGAATTTAATTTCCTGCTTTACAAAAGCTACAGAAGATGTTCATGTAATAAATCTCTGTATGATGGAGGATGTCTGTTACTTGACTCAGAGAAGAAAAACCCACCTGTATAAGAGCCTCTTTTTAAAGTATTGATCATGCTGTGTTATAATCATGAGCATTAATGTGGGTCTATCAAGCTGTGGTATGTAGCTGTTAGGCATTTTTCCCAGCCTGAATGTTTTGAAGTAGGTAAAAGAGGTTACATGTCCAGAAAACCTATTTCCTTATATCTTTGATATAGACTCCAGATAGATGGAATTTCCTTCTGGATTGACATGTATAAAGTACTTAGTACAGTATATCATATTTAGTGTGTTCTTTAAGTAATTGTCAAGTAATGGTAACAGCCTCCGTGACAGCTGGACTGTGAAGTGCAGTTGCTGAGATGTTGATAGATAGACCCAGGAGTCCTAGGCCCACAGAATGTAAGTCTCATTTAAACAGAGCCTCTGCCCTTGACTGCAGCTGAATTCTGGATCTTGATTTTGCAAAATGGGGTCTAAAGTTTCTTAAGAAGAATTACTATATAAAATCGTGATTTAAGTTGTAACCTGTTGTAGGAGGATTAATTTATTATTAACTAAAGCTGTCTTAGTTAAACTTTGATACTGCTATTAAAGAACAGCCTCAAGAAAAACATTTTGGTTACTTATGTTAGAGTTACATGCCATGTTATTTGTTGAATCACTGCTTATTAAATTTTAAAATTATCTTAATAATTCATAAAGCCTATCATTATGTCCTAGTCAAACTGCTGTGTTTTTTCACTCCATTTTTTTTTCCCACTAACGTTTGTTTTCCTCCATAAGAACAAAAAATATTCAAATTGAGCTTTTTAAAAGTAGGTCACATCGTTTGTTCTAAAACGCCTGAATGTTAGTGAAATTACAGCTAAAACTGTAAATTTAAGGTTTATTTGCCTAAGAACTATCACTTACCTTCTCCTTTTGTTTGAGAATTAGCCATATATAACAGGGATTTTCACAGACATGCAAAATTATAGGTCTTCAGTAGATTGGTTCTGTCTCCGTAAGTCTGCCTTGACTTTTGGTGGTGTGTTATTTTGACTCATAATAAGAAATAGATAACTTGGTCTCTCTGTCTCTGGTCCTGGTCCATAGGTCCTAAAATGCTGGGAATTTCCTAAATGATGAGACACACACTAACTTGTCTTGTTGTGTTAATGACTTGCCCTGGGGGATGGCCCTAGGTAACCTGAGGACAGGAGCTGGTTGCCAGGATTTGGGCCCCACTCCCAGACTTTTGAGGAGAAGAAAGGAGCTGGATATTGAGTCCAGTCAGCAAATGGCCAGTTACTTAATCTTCATGCTTATGTAATGAGCCTCCCTAAAATCCTAAAAGGGCAGGATTCGGAGAGCTGCCAGGTCAGTGAACACATGGAGATTTGGGGTGAGTGGTCCCTGAGCCCCTTACCTTGGCCTTTGCATCTCTTCCATTTGGCTGTTCCTGAGTTATATCCTTTTATAATAAACCTGTGCTCTAGTAAGTGAAATGTTTCTGAGTCCTGTGAGCTGTTCTAGTAAATTAATTGAACTCAGGAGAAAGAGGCCCAAGGAACCTCCGGTCTATAGTCTGTTGATTAAAAGCCACGGTGACAACCTGGGGTTGTGATTCGCTTCTGAAGTAGAGGTTGGGGGTCAGTCTTGTAGGACTAGGCCCTTAACCTGTGGGATCTGAGTTTATTTCCAGGTAGATGTGTTAAAATTGAGTTGAATTGTAGGACACTCAGCTAGTGTTAGGAAATTGGTGGCAGGGAAAAATACACATGGAAATTGGTTAAGAATTGGAGATGTTAAGTTTTCAGGGATAGATTGACCTCTCTAGGTTTACATGTGTCCGGTATTGTATTTTTCTTCTGTCACCGAGAACTTACTTTACATTCCTTTTTTCTTTGTTGCAATGGTAGTTGTTCCTGATTGAGTATAATTCATATTTCCTATGTGTTAAGTTTCAAGCATATTTTTAAAAGGCCACTCTCAAAATAACAGCTTTTGAATTGTTAATTATGTTTTACACCCTTAGGTTTGCACAATTTTTCCTGTGCCCCTTGTTTGATGAGAGTTGCAAAGACAGAGAGGTGAATGCAGTTGACTCAGAACATGAGAAGAATGTGATGAATGATGCCTGGAGACTCTTTCAGCTGGAAAAAGCTACAGGAGATCCCAGACACCCTTTCAGCAAATTTGGGACAGGTTTGTCAACAGTGGCTTTCATGTATTAGTTCTCCATGACCTCATTTAAACCCATGCTATCTTTGCACAGTATTGTATTTTACAGTTCAGGATAGACGATTTCAGAACTACGCATTCCTACCTACCCTCTTCTTTATAAGTTCACAGTATGAAGCTTTGAAGTGGTCCTTTAGATCATTATATCTCCCTGTTATTTCTTAAACCATGCCCCTACACTTACACTGTCTGCTTGGTCCCTGTGTAGGCACCTATATTTTGTGTCTTGAGACCTAAGATGAGGCTAAAGTTTAGGTGTATGAGCTTAATGGAGAAATTGATAGGTTACTGAGAAGAGTAACCAAATATGAAGCAAGTTAATTGGATAACAAGGTATAGAATTGAATTCAGAGTTTAGAAAAAATAAGAATGCAGTGATTATAATCCCTCTCGTAGGCGACTAGCAGTTTTAAAAGAAGGGTGTCGAACAAGAGTTGGGCCTTCGGCATTGGGCTTTATACATAACACTTAGGATAATATTCTCAAATTGTAATAAAAGGGTTAACTTAAGCAATTGTTTAGCGCTAAGCCATCCCTTTCAAATAGGGGTCTAAATGTTTAAGGAGCAGAGCAGTTAATTATAAATAGATATTAACCAGCATTTCAAAGAGAGAAGATAATAGATCCTTTTATTCTGAAGTCTACCTTCCAAATAGAAGTTCCTTCTTTTAACCTTCCCTTCAAGGCTTGTTGAATCCTTCTGCTTCCCTTACCTCCGATCTCTGTTCATATGATGCATAGCATTTGCTGTGCAGTGGCTCTGTGGGAGACAGAGCATACCGAAGACACACAAGGTCCCTGCTCTGAGTGCTACAAGCCCTGGAAGGAGATTAGAGGTGGTGATGACGGGAAGTAGGATAAAATAAATGTGGAGATTTTTTATTTTATAATTGTACGCTTTTTCTTTACTGAATTTTTCATTAAAAGGTAGATGTTTAAATATTTAAAGAGTACGAAATTAAAGTAAAGAAAAAAAGCAAAAACAAATAGCCTCCCTTTTTCTCACCCACTTCTGACAATCCCACTCACCAGATGTAATTGTTAAGAGGTTGCTATGATTTTAAAATACTGCTTTGGGATTATAAATTGCATGTGAAGAATAGATTTAGTGTAATGTATGCTTATTATAAAAGTTAATTATGGGAACTTTTTTTTCAGACTATAAAGACAGATTTCTTTCAGTTTGAATACCATTCTAATATATCCAAAAGCAGCCAGGGAACTAGCATAGTTTACAAAATTAAGAGTTTTTAAAAATTGCCATTAGGGCAGTTAATATTATATTCTTTAGATTTATCATACTTGTCACTCAGTATCAGCATCATTGCTAAGAGAAATACTGGGGTACCTAAAATGTCTGTGTAAAGCTGAATTGTTTGAAAAGTGGCTTGCTTGGAGAACAGTACACATGGTGTATAAAGGGAATGTGAGTTTTAAAAATCACATTTCAAAATCATTCCATCCATATGATTGTTGTCCTTAAAGTCGTTCCTGTGGTAGGTTAGATGCTTACACCAGCAGTTCTGCTATTGTGCAGAACATGTCAGAGCTCCTTTTTGGGAGTTACCTTCTTTTAAGTAGCTTCACTGGTGACAAATCATAATCAACATAATCTTAAACCAGTGAATAAAGTAAGGAGTGTTACTTCTGGTCACAAGCAATGGACAGTCTTAAAATGTCCCAGAGGAAGGTTTTAAGAGTGCTGGGCAGGGAAACATTGAATGATCATATATATATATATATATATGGCTGGGGTTTGAGGGCATGTTTGTTTTTATAACCACTGACAAGGCTAGGCAACTAATATGAGTTAATATAAACAGCTGAGAAGTGAGTGAGCCAGACTCAGTGCAGAAAATGTGATATAAGTAACACAAATGCCAAGTTGCCTTCTGACTTTAGAAGTATCAATAAACATTGAATTTTTTGGAGCAGAAGTTCTGTCCATTTTTAAGGTCACAGTTATGTGACCATATTTGAAAATATGAAAGTTGCATGCCCTTGCCCTAAAAATTACATGTATAAAATTTTGCAAAAGCGATCCTTGAAGAAGATTCCTTGTCAGAAATTCATGCTTAATTTACTTCTGTTATTTTTGAATGACTTAAGGTGTTTCTGTGAATGTGGGCCATTTCGTCCATCAAGGGATTATGATGTACTATTTTAATAATAATATTTAAGATATTATAAAAATATTATTAAATAATAACAGTGATGCTATTTAAACAGGAAAAGCTGGGTATTTTTGAGTGAACAAAAAATGAAGCATTGTGTTACTTATTTTTAAGAAAATCTTAAAATGTTTCTCTTTTACAGAGGTTTTTCATGCTTCAAAAATAGTGTAGGTCAGTGGTGTTCAAACTTTTTATATACAACCAATAGTAAGAAGCACATTTTGATCTTACCAATTCAGAGCACATGTATGTGTGTTTGTGTAAGCAGCTAAAATGAAAGTTTTACCAGACAATATCTCACATCTTGGGATGTAGTCTGTTGCCCTCTGTTGCTTTAAAAAAAATTCTCTTCTGCCAGTACATTACATTTATTTCATTACAGTTGAATGGATCCCAGCCCATAGTTTAATCCAAAGTGACAAGCTGTCATTTCAGTAGACTCAGAAAAACCATTTAATAAAACTTGGCACTCACTCATGAGCAGAAGCAACAAAAAATTCATAAGCTGATAAAAACGTATGTCAAACATCTTGACTAATGGTGATGTTTCCAAAGGATTTAAAATGAAAGGCGAAAAAAAGAATACCCTGTAATCACTTTTTTGTTCAGCTTACTGTATAATTGTCACAAATAGTCAAATAAAAATTGTGATATGTAAGAGGTAAAAAGGAAGCAAATGAAAACTTTCGTATGTATGATATGTCTGCATAAACATATCTAAGAAAATAGATCAACCATTAAAAATAAGGTAATTTAACAGTGTTGCCAGAAGATGAGAAGCACACTAAAATTACATTCTTTTATCAATGATAATCAATTAGAAAAATGCCATAGGGAAAATTATTTCATTTACAATATAAAAATAGGTTTATTCAAAAGATGTGTAAGAAATATATAATGAATACCTGGGTAAGTGGTATCAACCATGTTCATGAATGGGGAAACTCAGTATCACACAGATGTAAATTCACCTCAAATTTATCTAAATTTATTACAGATTTATCTAAATTCATACCTATCAGGTTGGCAGTGACTGAAAGTCAGGCAAAACTGAAAGTCCTAGGAGGTTTTTTTTTTTTTGAGAAACTTGAAAATCTGATTATAAAATTAATAAGAAAGAGTAACCAAAAATAGCTAAGATAATTTCAAAGACTACAAAGAAGGTACTACTTCTGCCAGATACCAAGACATTACAAAATTCTACTAATAGTAGTAGAATTGGTACAAAGTTACAGGAGATGATAGTAGAACAGATTATAGACCCTGGAAACATATCCACAAATATATGGAAACATGACATAAGACATTACAATGAGTGAGGAAAGGATGGACCTTTCAATAACTGCTGCAGGGACAATTAGTTATCTATATGTAGAAATAAGTAGAATTAAATGCTTATCTTTCTATGCACAAAAATGAATTTCAGGTCAATTTGACTTAATTATGGAAAGAAAACTTTACAACTTTTAGGGAAAAATACAGGATAATTTTTTTCATCTTAAGGGTGTTCTTAAGGACACAAAACACAAACTATCATTTACAGATAAAGATAAATCATAGATTTAAATATAAATTTGACTTCATTAAAATTTCAAACTTCTGTTCAGTAGAGACACAAAAACAAAATACAACCTGCATACCTGGTGAGGATATTTGGAAAACCTGTAACAGGTAAAAGCTTGTATAGGTAAATAGGTAAAAGATTAAACCGGAGGTGGAGCCAAGATGGCAGCGTGAGTGGGGTAGTGGAAATCACCTCCCAAAACCATGTATATTTTTGAAAATACAACAAATACAACTATTCCTAAAACAGACACCAGTGGATACAGTACAACAACCAGGCTGTGTCTACATGTGCAAGAACTCAGCATCTCACGAAGGGGGTAAGATACAAGCTGCGGCCTGGCGGGACCCGAAGGCTCCCCCGACCCCAGCTCCTCGGCAGGAGGAAAGGAGTTGGAGAGGAGAGGGAGTGAAAGCCCAGGACTGCTAAACAACCAGCTCTAATAATCCACACTGGGAGTGCAGACGCACACTGCATGGTGTGCTGGATATTAGAGAAACGAAAAAGGAAAATCTGCGTGCAGATTCCGGCAACCAGCTCCCCTGGAACAAAAGAAAAGTGAGTGCTTTTTGAAAGTCTTAAAGGGACAAGGGCCTATCAGCTGGACAGAAGCATCATGGCACACACAGCCCAGCAGCTGGGAATCCCAGGGAACTCCAGGCGCCCTAACCCCCTGGGTAGCAGCGCAGCTCTGAAGCCCCTCATGGTGATAAGCAGCCTGCCAGTCATTCCCCAAACACAGCAGCCCTGACACAGCGGCCCAGTAGGCGGAGAGTGGCCGCATGCGCCTGAGGCAGTGGCGGAGCCATCCAGGAGCAGCTGTGCAACCCTGCGGCGGCAGTCGAGCATCCGGGGAGCGGCCGCGTGTGCCTCCAGCAGCAGTGGCAGAGCAGCCTGAGTGGCCACGCCCCCAGTAGCTGCGCAGAATCTCCTCCCTGTGTGTAGCCACCCAGGCCAGATCCAAAGACTGCTGCCGGGGCAAGACGTGAAGGGGCGCCACTCTTGCAGGAGAGCACACCCAGTGCACCTGCCACTCCCTGCAGGGCTCTGGGTTACCCTGATGGTGACGCTGCCCATGGCAGCTTAGGAGGTTACTCCGGAGGCTGCTCCAGGAGTGCGGGTATCCAACACAGGCAGCAGAGAAGGGCAAGGCAACTAGCAAACAGGAAAGGACTTTGTTCTCCCAGCTGACACACGTGCTACCTGCCAATAGCTACCTCTGTCTC